AATGAAGATGGTAGAAGTACACAACATCTCTGTGCCAAAAAGAATAAGACAGTGAACCACTTCAAAAAGTAGTGTTTAATCAAGGACTAGTGGTAATGGAGGAAGAAGTCCATGGTGCACTAAAGGTACTGGCAAAAAATAAACATCCAGGAATGCAAAGAAAACCAGTTGATAGTTTCAGCAAAAAGTGAAGCCCTGGAATTGCTCTCTTATCTATGCCAGGAAATTTGTAAGACCTGGAAAACCAAATGGAAGAAATATTTTGCTTGTATTTTATCTTTACTTATGGAAACTTTGACTATATAGAAGTTTAAAAGCTATGTGATTATATTTTAATTATAAAGGCTGGGTTTAGAAGGGGTCATGGTACTAGGGATATTACAGCTGATGGATCTTAGCTGAAAGCAGGGAATACCAGAAGAATGTCTATCTGTGTTTCATTGATTATGCAAAGGTGTTTGACTGTGGATCATAACAAACTGTGGCTGACTCTGAGAAGAATGGGAATCCCAGACACTTGATCATTGTAATGCAAAACCTATTCTTGGACCAAGAGGCAGTCTTCAGAACAGAGCAGGGAAACACTGCATGTTCAAAACTGGGAAAGGTGTACGCCAGGGATGTGTCCCATCTCCATGCCTTTTCAAAACTGTATGCAGAACAGATTATCTGAGAGGCTGGGCTCTATGAAGAGAAGTGTGGCATCAGAATTGGTGGAAGATCTATTAACAATCTGCATTATGCAGATGACTCAAGGCTGCTTGCTGAAGCTGAAGAGGACCTGAAATGCTTGCTGCAGAAGGTCAAGGACTGCAGACTTCAGTTTGGACTGAGGCTCAATGTCAAGAAGACAAAGATTCTCACCACTGGACCAATGGGCAGCATCAGGGTGGATGGTGAAGAGATTGAGATTATTAACAACTTTAGTCTACTTGGCTCCACGGTCGGTCAACAGTAGCCAGGAAATCAAAAAACGTATTGCAATGGGAAAGTCTGCTGTTAGGGACCTCTCCAGGGTACTGAAGAGCAGTGGTGTCACTCTGGAGACTAAAGTGCATCTGGTATAGGCTATGGTCTTTGCAATCACTTGTTATGCATCACAGAGGTGGACAATAACTAGGCAGGATAGAAGGAGAATTGATGCCTTTGAGCTGTGGTGCTGGAGAAGAGTATTGAATGTACCATGGACTGCCAAGAAAATAAACAGATTCATCCTGCTGAGGGTTAGACTAGGGTGCTCCTTGGAGGCAAGGATTCTGGGGCTTCATCTGACATACTTTGGACATGTTGTAAGGAGGGACAAGTCCTTGGAGAGGGACATCATGCTTGGGAGGGGTAGGGACAGCACAGGAGGGGAAGACCCTCTATGAGGTGGATTGATTCAGTGACTGGGCTAATCGGGATGGGTGTGTCAGAGGCAGTGTGATTGGCACAGGTTAGAGCAGGGTTTAGGGCTGTTGTACATAGGGTCGCTATGGGAAACAACTGGACGGCATATAGCAACAACAACAACATTATTATGTTAATTAGTAGCTCATCAACTAGTTACCAATATGCATTCTTGCTCTTCTGCATTTTTCCTCACAATTTACTATGCAAATCTAATAATTTCATTTCATATCCTTTTAAATTATTACCCTGTTCCTCTGTAATAAGGACCATTATTATTTGTACAACTTACTGAGCCCTTACTTAGTGTGACTTAATTTTACTCTACACATTCCTTAGCTCTTGGCTTTTCTAGCCATACTAGTTTTCTCTTCATCTTTGGTAAAGCTATCCTTCTTTCACTTTGTGAACCTATACTACGCCTATATGCTATTTCCTCTTCTCATTGTCCTCTCTCCTTGATACTTCTTTATGCTAGAAAAAATCTTACAAAGCCAGATGAAAGAAAAAGAAAATTTCATTTTGAAAATGAAATGTACACATTATTATGAAGTGCAATTACAAGTCTGTCCACTTGCTGTACAATGGAAACTCGTGGTTGCTGTGATGCTGAACACTGTGACACTAATGTGTCACATGCAATAATGGTCACTCATGGTGGACAGCGTTTGGTGGAGTTTCTCAATTAAAACAAGCTTGAAAGTAGGAGTGGCATCCACTTCTGAAATGGCTTGCCTCCAGAAACTCTATAAACATGGAGAAACAACCAATGTTATACAAGTGTTCAGGTCTTTTGTTAATAGGGTCACTATGAGTCGTCTACAACTCAGTGGCACTTAACAACAACAACATAGAGAAACCTCAGTTGGCCTAGTGGACAGAAAGTGATGCTACCCAGCCAAAGGTGGGTGACTTTAATCCGCAGCCCTCAGGCCTGTTTTTAATTGTTTTTGGTCAAACATTCTTCTCGGTCATATAGCTCTGGTGTATCCAATTGCTGTACAGAGGTAACTTGTGTTTGCAGTGAAGCTGAACACTGTGACACTGATGTGTCAAATGCGATAATGTTCAGCCATGGTAGACAGTGTTTGATGGAGCTCCCCAATTAAAGCAAGCTTGGAAGCAGGAGTGGCATCCACTTCCAAAATAGCTTGCCTTTGGAAACCCTGTGAACCTGGAGAGAGGATGAAAGTTATACAAATGTTCAGGTCTTTCGTTCATAGGGTCACCATGAATCGTCTTTGACTTGAAGGCACTTAACAATACAAACAACATAACAAGAACGGAGGCTTTAGAGTCATACAAACCAACTAAGTGTATCGTAATTATTGTAGAACCCAAACCAGTGTTGCTTAACATCTATGTTAATGATGGAGTATGTTGGTAAAATTTTGGATGTTAAATGAGAAAATAAATATAAAGTACCTAGCTTTCATTCAGTTGGCTGTGAGCTAATATTATTAGATGCCATCAAAACTACTTCAGCTCCTAGTGACCTTTTTGTATAACAGATCAAAACTTTGCCTAGTCCTGCACCATTCTTATCTTCAGTGAGCTCAAGTCCATTGTTGTGCTTATCTCATTAAGTCTTCCTCTCCTTCCCTGGCCCTTCCCTCCTTTCTGAGCATGGTCTCTCCTGATAATATGTCCAAGGTATGTGAGATGAAGTCACCATGTCCTTGCCTCCTAGGAACATCCTGACTGTACCTCTTCCAAGACAAATTTGTTTGTTCTTTTGGCAGTTCATTGTGTATTCACTACTTTTTGCCATCACCACAATTCAAAGATACTGATTTTCTTTTCTGTCTTCTTTATTCATTATCTAACTTTCTCAAGCATATGAAGCTATGAAAAATATCATGAACTGGGACAGGTGCACCTTGTTGTTATTTTATTGTTAGAGTCCATCAAGTCAAACACAGCTCATAGCGACCCTGTGAAAAACAGAACTGAACCCAAGCCTATCCTGTGCCATCCTCGCTATTTCTGACATGCCTAAGCCCACTTCAGATGCACCTTGGTCTCTTTAGCATCTCTACCTGACATGAGAAGTCATTTAAATACTCAAAATCTATTTCTTCAAGAGAAAATAAAAACCATCCTCCCTGTATCACACAATTTTCTTGTTCACAAAAGCTCTTGAACACTTTAAATTGGTGATCATGTCAATTAGGTGTATTAATTAAACTTGCATGGCTAGTGCAAAGACTATGCCTCTGGTAATTCAAATCCACTTGCAGCTGTAAGAGAAGAGTGGATAATCTCCTCCCAGACGCTTTATAGCCTCAGAAGCACTGTGGAAAGTCAGCTCTGAATTGATTCTGACTCAAGAGCAAGGAAGGTAAAAGAATAAAAATGACCTAGCTCACCTACTTCAGTATGACCTCATTCCTTGGTTCATCTTTGGAATATGGTAGATATACCTTGGACATAAAATGAGGGTGAAGTAGAATTTACCCACTGAGAGCAGTTATCTGTATAAAGTTCCTTAGGGTAAGTGCCTAATGAGTCCTCAAAATAAATTTTAATAGGAGCACAAGGAGATTCTTGTTGACTTGTATGGAAGGAGTAAAAATCAGAACAGACTAGGAGGTATAAATGAATGGTAGACATCAACATGGCCTGTTTTAGTGGCTTTTTGGTAGCTGGATTTGTTCTTTTTTTTAATTGTATATTTTAACTTATTCTTTCATTACTGTTATAGCAACCCAGTGAAAACAGCTGGTGTAGTTAAACCATACATATCTACCTTATAGTAACCCTTCTCGTATGTGCCGTGGAGTTGCCTACAACCCATCGCCACGTTAAGTACAACAGCTCTGAAGCCTGCCCTATCCTGAGCCAGTCCCACGGACTCCAACACACCTATGTACAATAAAAAACAAAACAAAACCAGAAACAGGAAGAGAAACTCCATGCCTGATCCTGTACAATGCTAACAGTCTCTACTGTGTTTAAGCCCATTGTTGCAGCCACTATAACCATCCATCTCATTGAGGGTCGTCTTTTTCGCTTACTCTGTACATAAGGATAGTGCGGGAAAAGGACAGTCAGAACCCAGAAATCCAATATCATCCTTTTATTTTGTCAAGGAGCCCTCGTAGGGCTGCAGGTAAGCACTTGACCATTTACAGTTGAAAAGCTAAGTGCTACCAGTCGCTTTGCAGCAGAAAGAACATTCTGTTTCCTTAAAGTGGCAGTTCTAATCTGTGCTAAGATTCACTATGAATTGGCACTGACTGGACAATAGTAGGTGGGGTTTTTTGGATAATGCTTTTTGAAACTTTCTTTAAATAATAACCCCATGATGTGATACTGTGTGTTGGAATTTTGCCTATATATGTATGCAGTACTGGTTCCTTTGCCACCTCTGCTATGTGTTTTCCCTGTGACTTGACTTAAGGGGTTTTTTTCCTGCCAACATTTTCACTTATTGACAGATTTATAATCTTATCTTTGGTTTTGAGTTGAGTGTTACAAGCTTCTTGAGCTACGTTTCCTTTTAGGATGTTAGTAATTTAATGAAGTTCCTTGTCAGTCAGCATTGATCCATATGATTTACTTCCTTTCACTGTAATCCTTAATAAATCAGTATATTCTTTTTCCTGCAGGTCTTCTGTGCTTCCTGCTGTAGCCTGAAATGTAAACTATTATACATGGATAGAAAAGAAGCTAGAGTGTGTGTAATCTGTCATTCAGTGTTAATGAATGGTAAGTATTAACACAGGTTGATTTCACAGTTATTAGGCAAATAAGAGAATTCCTTTGGGAAGACTACTTTTTTTTTTTACTTCTCTTCTTAAATAGCATGACTGTAACTGAAAATGTAAAGCAATGTTTTTTATACTTTAAAAATGCATTTTAGAATTTTTATGCCTACTTAAGTGAGTGAGTAGTAAATTTTAGTAAATCTTAGAAAGATAGAAGTTGTGCAAAACTGACACTATATGAATGGATGGATAGATTGAAGGGAAAGGGAGGGTACAGTGAGGTTTTGATAAGATATTGTTAATAATGACATTATATAAGTATAATTAATGTTATAAAAATATGTATGAGTGAATAAACTGATTGGAACACAAAAAAAATCCCTCTGATATTATATAGTTAATGTTGCTGACTACGAGGCTTGGAGTATAGAGAGATGTTTATAGACTATGTTGATACTAAAACTAGACGAAAGTATTCAAAGGGGAAACTGTCTTTCAAAGGAGCACATTAATAACTTAGAATACATTTTTAATTATATTTGTGTTGTTAAAAAGAAATATTTTAGTATTGAGAATCAAGTATAAAATGTAATTTTTCTATTGCCTCCTTAATGCCACTTCACTTTGTCGTAAAGATAATGATTTTGAATTTAGTTAGGCAGTAAAAGAATATGGATAGATAAATATAACTTTTCATCTTTTTGCTGGATGGAAATAAACAAAAAATTAGTATTCTTGAAAAAAGCTAAAATAAAACTGACCAGGCTATATAGTATTTCCTGTTTGGATGCATCTTTGTAGAGTTGTCAGAACTATTACTAACACCCATTGCCGCCGCTATCAACTGTACAGGAAGATGTAAAATGTTAAACTTTTGACACCACTGCAGCTTGTGTAAGGATAGCATGCCTCCTGGAGGCAGAAACTTACCTGCTCTGAGACCCCTCCTGCTCTGTCTGTCTGCATTGCTCATAGTAACGTTTTCCTGTTGCTGGCTTATTAACCTCTTGCATGTCAGTTTATCCAGTCTATTCTAATCTCCTATGATCCACTCAATTTCCTCCCATTTCTGAATTCATATATTTTTTTTATCTAGTATGAATCATTTTCTCTATTCTTAAAGGTCACTCTTTAGATGGTGGTTATTTCACTGGTTGCTTAATTGATGATTTTTATTCCACTGCTTTCATTTTTCTGAAACATACCCACAGAGAAGAGTTTGCTGCTTAATTAATTATTGTACTCGATACCTCTTTTATTTGATGAGGTCTTCCACCTTGATAGTTTTTAATTATTACTATTACTTGGCATAGCTAAAGGTGAAGGAAATAGCAGAGGATCCATATGGAATACTTTTTATTAAGTGAAGGAGACCCTTAACAGGGGATTCCCAAGGTAATCTACATTTTCTGGTTTTTCCAGCATCTTTCCTCTCGCATGGCTTAGTCAAGTCTTTTTCTAAATATTTAATTTTATGCTTTTCAGTGTTTCCTGTCCCTACTTCCCTTTCTTGTTTTCTCTTCCTACCCTCTCTTCCTGCCAGCGCTTTCTGAGGAGTATATCTTTTGTTACTAGTCTTGTCTTGCCGTTTAAATTTTATAAATATTCAGAATCTTATGGATCAATCTTTGATTTTAGATTCCATTTTTAAAAATATGCTCAGAAATCCCTGGTGTTTTCTGTTCCTGGACATGTGGTATTACCTGAACCTAGAAGTTAAAATTTGACAGCTTTCATTTCTATAAAACCTTTCATCTTACATACAAAACAGTAGTTTTTATATCAGTGTTTAGTTAGCAAAATTTTAGCGTGTATGCAGTCTACTGCATTTGTTATCATTCATATTGTTTGATCCCACATAAAAATAATGGCACATTTTCATGTTCAGATGGGTCCTGTGCTTTGGAGACACTCCAGAGATATGAAGTTGTTATTATTGCTGGATGTTTTTACATACACAGTGATGATTGCACAAAAAGAAAATTCACAAAACTCTTTACATATGGTCTCCTGATCTTGAGGCGTCAAGATTTTTCAGATGAAATTTTACCTGGAGAAGAGCTTAATATTTAGAAATTAAAAGCCATATGCTTTTATGCTATTTTAGCCCCTGATTCTTAATTTTACAGTAACTGTATAACAAAAAAGAAGTATTACCCCATTTATAAATCTTTAATAAGTTTGGTGTTGTTTTAATCCCTCTTAAAGAAGTATTATGGTCTCCATTCAAGAAGTTTGGAACCCAGTCACTAACCTCAGGCTAATTTATAGAGCTCTTTGGCCTAGTCCGTAGGGAACTGTGCTGCTTACCCAAAGGCGGCACCTCTCTGGCATGGAAGAGAGATGAGCACTCTCCTCCCATGCAGTTCATAGCCTCTGAAAATCCACTAGAGGGTTAGCTATGAGTCAGTTTCGACTTCATGGCAGTGAGTTTTTTTGAGTGAGTATCAGAAATATGATGTAATTCTTACTATTCCAGTCTAATAGTTTACTTAGCTAACTGGTCTCCTTTTAGGAATAAAATCACCTATCTCCTTAATACCTTCATTAGGTAGAAAAGAGATAAACTATATTTGAATGAAGAGGAGCTACATTATTTACCCAATATTGTGGAGGTCTTGATGTCCATATTTTATAATCCATTCACATTGATTGTGTCTGTATTTGCTTTAGCTCAAGCCTGGGAGAACATGATGAGTGCCTCAAGCCAGAGCCCTAACCCTAACAATCCTGCTGAATACTGTTCTACTATCCCTCCCTTGCAGCAAGCTCAGGCCTCAGGAGCTCTGAGCTCTCCACCTCCCACTGTGATGGTACCTGTGGGAGTTTTAAAGCACCCTGGAGCAGAAGGTAGGGGATCATGTGCTATTCTCTCTCTTTTTCCTCACCGAGTTCCTCTGAAATGGTGCTGATAGGATTTTACAGCACAAATCTTTAAAACACTACAGTTAAATCCCTTTGAGTGGTTATTAAAGTGGAAGAACAAGGTGAGAAATGTGTTGAGACTATTTCTGGGCAAGTAAAAAATACTGTTGCCTCATATTTTAAAGACACTTCTGAAAATATGCCATCCCCCCTCCAATTTAAAAATGGAGCAGTTAAATTGCTTACACTTGAATAAGGTAGAGAATCTGAAGTCAGCCTAAGAAATGTTAGCCTCATGCCTACCTTAAAATGTTCTTTGTGGGCATTTAGGAAGTATTAAAAATTAGTTCTTCATTCTGATCAGTCCATTCCAATAATAATTTTTAAATTATAAATGTTGCCATTTAATCTTTTCATTTTTAATCTATCCATATGCAAATATAAAGTTGTTTTGTTAGGCACATAGACTTTTATAAAAATCAAGACCTTTCATTCTGAAATTAGTCTGGTTTATTTTATCTTTATTGTGCTGATATGGTCTAATGGAAAGCACTTTGTGAGTGCAGGGGCTTATGGACAGAAAAAAATAGAAATTATGTATTTCCTTAAAATGATCTTATTAGGAAATTTCACTTGATAATAAAAATCAAATCTTCCTTCATTAATTTTATGGCTTGTCTTCTGTAATAATCCCTTCCCTGTCTATATAACTTTTCTCCCCTTTGGAAGATCAGACTTTATAGACATGATCATACTCATTTCCTTTTCCCCTTCTTTTCTTATCATTCCTGAGTCATCCCTTGTATTTTTTATAATCAGGTTTTCTTTCTTAAAAACCTTTATTCTCTTTACTTCATTTGTTTTCCCCTAGTCTTTCTTTGTTTCGGTTGTTTAAATTTGAATTGATTTCTAAAACTGGATTTAAAGGGATCATTTTTATTACTCAGTTTTCCAGCCTTTCCCCTGTCTTTTTATTAAAAATGCAAACAACTTTGCACTGCCTGATCAGTTTCTTTCTTCTTCAGTTATAGTGTAGCTGAAGGTCTGGTCAGTTTGCTTACAATTCTTACATATCTGTGCTAATTCTTCCTTTATTAACTAATAAGAATTCTTCAGCAATCTTCAGGGCATTTGCTGCCCTTTAAAATATCATATCACTTTTCTAGTTATTTGAATCCTGAGGAAACCTCTTACTTTTAGATATGGAGTTAATTACTAGCTAGCATGGTTTTTATTTTTGTTTTCCCTTCTATCAGTTTATTTGCTCAACATTTAAAAAAACTTAGTTTCTTTGCAGTGATGTGGAACTAAGTATGTGACATAGTTATTGGTGTATTTAAGAGCTCTTACTATTTTAAAGCAATGTATTATGAATCTTAGTTATAAATGATAGATCTCAAATATACTTAAATACATATTTTTATTAATTTATAACCACTTTTATACCCAATTATAGTTCTGATGTTTATGATTGTAAGATAGTAGTGTTTTCGTGGTACATCTGGATTTGGTGACCTTCTCTTCTTTGACTTTAAGAAAGCTTACCAATGTCACATTGATACCTGTTTTATTTTTCTGGCCCCTCAAGTGGCTCAGCCCAGAGAACAGAGGCGAGTTTGGTTTGCTGATGGGATCTTGCCTAATGGAGAAGTTGCTGATGCAGCCAAATTACCAATGAATGGAACTTCCTCTGCAGGAGCCTTAGCTGTGTCACATGACCCAGTCAAGACTGTAACAACTAATCCTTTACCAGCAGAGGTAAGAAAATGATTCCAGAATGAAGGGAGTATCTACCTTACTGGTATTTTGCTACCCCTGTCTTGCCTTATTCTAAATGACGTAGAACCCTATAGATGGGCAATAGTTTAGTACATCCAGATTTTCAATTGTAGCACTTATGTAGAACTGTTTACAAATATGCTCCAGTAATGTTGCAGTCTCATTTAGACACAACACATTCTTTGTATCTCTCAACTTCTTCCATTCTTTCTTCCTCAAATATAAAATAACCAAGGTCTCACAGCTATCCTGTCTCACATACCTTACTTACCTTGCCTTGTACTCTGGGAACGATTCTGTACTCTCTTGTTCCCCATTAAGAGTCTCAATTTCTTAGTTCTTAGTTTTCTTGTTACTTTGATGAACTAGTGAATAAGGAGTTGTGTTACCAACCCAAAGTCATGCAGTTCAAATCAACCAACTTTTTCACAAGGGAAAGATGGGTAATGTCTCATGCAATTTAAGACTCTGAAAGCCAACTGTAGGGTCAGCTCTGACTCAACAACACATAACAACAACAACTATAGTTTTCTTACTAAGTTCTTAAGAAAGATTTTGGCTTTCAGCTGGTACTTTGATTGTATTACTTACAATTTTTTTAAAGCCTTTTATGGAAGTACAACATAATTCACTAGTATTTGATATTTTTTAACAAAAGCTTGTTAAGTAAAATTAACTTTTAAAATAGATATATATTTTTGTAAGGGAACTCTGATGATGTGGTCTATAGCATGTTGTTCTTCTAACTAAAAGGTTTTGAGTCTCCTGCAGTTGGAATCCACTAGCAGCTCCAGAGGAGAAAGATGGGCAATCTCTTCCCATTAAGATGTGTAGTCTCAGAAACCCATTAGAAGGTCATTACTAGTTGGAATTGACTCAGTGACAGTACATCTGTATTTGTGTATATAGAGGCAATGCCTTGCCTTTCAGTTTCTTAGAAAAGGAAGAAGCGAGCGCTCTGGTGGCCTAGTGGGTAGGAGTATGCTGCCAACCCAAAGTCATGCAGTTCAAATCAACCAGCTTTCCCACAGGAGAAAGATGAGTAATGTCTCATGCAATTTAAGAAGCCACTGAAAACCCACTCTAGGGTCAGCTCTGACTCTACAGCACATAACAACAACAACAGTTTAAAAAAGTAAAGGAAGGAGCTAAGATTTTCCTCAGCTTTTACCTCTCCTTTCTCTGTAACCCACTTGTTTTTCCCTTATGTATAACAGCAGCTGTTCTTTTACTGTGTATTTGCAAGTTTTTCAGGAGACAGATTTTTAGGAAAGCTAGTCTCAAGTGAGATCCAGACTAGAATGGATCTTGGCCTTTATTAATACATTATTTTATACACTGATCCCTTAAACCTGAGAACATGGCTTTGAATCATGTTCTCTAGGTTCTATTATGGCCACTTTGAGTGTCACTGTAGGGAAGGTAGCTGAGGAATACTTCTGTTGTCTCTTTTCCTTCAGTCAAAACATCTTTACTTTTTCCCTAGAGGTTTCCAATTAAGATTTTAAACAGTGGTTCTAAAGCTTTAAAATAAGTTGAAAATAAATGATCTACTGGCCAAAAGACTTTATAATAACTAGTTCAGAATGTATACTTGTTTCTATAAGATGTTTTGGTCACACTTTTAGAAACTAATAGAAATTATTTCTCTTGGGGCCAAATTATCAGAAGGTGACAACTACTAACTACTTTTTTCTACTAGAGCAACTTAGATGCAAATTTTTTTTTCAAATATAAAGGTTTTTGAAAATTTTTTTATTATTAATTTCAATGAAAATTTAGAGACTTTGGATTTCCATTCATTCATTATTGCACTTTTCTCTCTGCCCACTCCTCCCCTGCCCCCAGTACACTCTTCTCTTTGAAAAGTAAAAGAAAAATTCTTTCATTGTTTTACAATCCCTCCCCCCAGGTCCACTCCACCATGCAGCCTTCGTTCTGGACTCCTATCATGACAAAAATACCTAATCATATATCCCTTTTAAATAGTTTCTACCTCATCTGTTTCAATGCAGTATACATTATTTGTCCCATCTTTTCTGTTTCCCCCTAACCCTGATGTCAGTCCTGTTTTACAGCAGTGACACCATGCAGTATTTGTCCTTTTGTGACTGAGATATTTTACACAGCATAGTGTCCTCCAGAGTCACCCATTTTGAATAATATTGCATGAGTTCCTTGTTTTTCAGTGCAGCATAGGATTCCATTGTGTGAATATACCACAGTTTCTCTATCCATTTGTTTGTTGATGGGCACTTAGGTTGTTTCCAACTCCTTGCTATTGTGAACAAAGCTGTGATAAAATGGGTGTGCATATATCTGCTTTGGTGGCAGTTATGGTCTCTTTGGGGTATATTCCCAGTAGTGGAATTTCTGAGTCAAATGATATCTCTATTTACAACTTTTTGAGAATGCACCATACCGCCTTCCACAGTGGTTGCACCATTTTACACTTCCAACACAGTGAATAAGGGTTCCAGTTTCTCCATAAGCTCACCAGCATTTGTTGCTTGCTGTGTCTGTTAAATTTTGCTATTCTTACTGGGGTAAGATGATATCTCATAGTCGTTTTGATTTTCCTCTCTCTTAGAGCTAGGGATTTTGAACATTTCATCATGTGCTTGTTGGCCATCTAAATATCTCCTTTGGTGAAGTGTCTGTTCGTATCCTGTGCCCATTTTTCTGTTGGATTATTTACTTTCATCTGTTGTGGTTTAGATGCAAAATTTAAAAATACATGCATAGAATCCTTTTATACAATGAGTACCTTTCTATTGATGCTTTCCCTTTAAATTTTTTAATTTAGAGGTCATTAATTAATAAGGTAATTAATTCTGGTTAAGTATGTATTTTAATAAAGGAACCCTGGTAGCTCAGTCATTAGCACTCAGCTTATTTCATGGGGGAAAAAAATGCAACAGTCTGCTTCTGTAGAGATCATAGCTCCAGACACCCTGTGTGTCAATCCTTGTGTATCCTATGGGTTCATGGTGAGTCAAAATTGGCTCAATGACAGTGAGTTGATTATGTAAATTTTAATAATCAGAGAAAGTTAGGATAAAATTTTTATTCCTGAAATTTTACTAGACTTATTTATTGGCTACTATTTGTTTCATGATTTTTTTTACCCACCAGAAATTTAGCTCCTTTAATTTTTGGCCACATAGAGTTTTTTCCCAATTCATTAACATACAGAAGTGAGGTTCCTCTTTGGTGAAGGAATAGAGAATATTTGGGGAAACTAGAGTGCTTCAATTTAGAAGAAAGATTTTATTGAACTTGTCTGTCTTCAAATATTTCTTTTTCAGTTTTTTCCATGATTATGGAAGGCAAGAGCCACAGACCTTATCCTTCTTTGTAACAATGCCATAATGGCTTCCTCAAGAACATTTATTCTTTTTTTTGTATTCATAGTATTTGGAAAAAATTCTGTGTCCACAAGAAAGATTTATAATGATACAATAAACATTCATATACTCTTTGCCTATATTAACCAATTTTGTCCTTTTGCCACATTTACTTTACTTGTCTATACATAGGTTCGTGTGTACACATGTTCATGTGTGCATGTACACAAATGCATGTTTTTGATGACCCATTTTAGAATCAGTTCCACATTGAGACCTAATACTTTACCATGTTTCTCCTAAGAACAATATTTCTCATGTAACCATACTCTTGCCACATGATAAAATTGAATGTTATACATTAGTGTTACCTAATGTATAGGCCATATTCTCTAATTGTTCCAATAAGGTTCTTTAATGCTGTAGTATATGCATATAACCAGGTAAAATTTTAAATTCATTTTAAAAATCATCATCTCTTTAAATATCACAGTTGCATTAGGTGTCAGTTTTCTTCGATCTAGACCAGTTTCCCTACATTATTTAAAATACAATAAAATAAAATAAAAATACAAAACCAAAATACTGTCACATTTTGAAGTATGTAGGCTGTATTTTATATAATGTTCCTCAGTCTGCATTTATCTGATTTTTTCCCCTTATGATTGTTTCAGAGTAAACATTTTGACAAGAAAATATTGAGTTGTGTACATGTCTTAGTGTATACCATCGAGAATCCGTTTGATAGATAGGATGATGTCGGTTGTTTCTTCTCTGCCAAGTGCAATTTTTTCCTTTGCAGTTAATTAAGTACTATAAGGAGTGACACTTGGTGACTGTGAGTATCCTCTTCCCCAGCAATCTTTCATACAGTGTTTTATTGTCCTTCAGTGGTTCTTGCCCAAATCAAATAGCTGTAAGTGGTTATACAATTATATTTCTTTTTATATCATTTTGTTTGTATGGTTTAATCATGTTAAAATATATATAATAGAAAGCTTGACATTATAATTCTTTTTGAGAGTGTGGTTCCATGGCCTTAATTACATTCACAGTGTTGTACAACCATCACCACTGTCTCTTTCCAAAATGTTTTATTATCTCAAACAAAAACTCTAAGCAAGAATTACTCTTTATTCCTTCTTCTTAGCATTCCCCCCACCCATTCTTTTGTTTTGCTCTATTTTGGCTTGGTTTTGTTTTTAACTCAAAGAACTCTACCAGGTATTTTCTAGTATTACCTTCATTTTACAGATAAGGAAACTGAAACCCAGAGGTGAAATAACAGCACTTCAAGTCATCAACAGAATCGGTCTGCCACCAGAGGCAGATGTCTGCAGTCTAGACTGTATGGGCACTTCTACTATGTTAAAGTCTTTCCTGTGTGTCAGCCTTGTTCTTCATACAGGCATGGAGGGTGCAAGAGACCCTGGTTTTAGAAAGAAAGCTCCAGTAACATCACAAAATTGGGAGCCTAGAAATGTTTTATGCTCCCCCTCCCCCCCACAGACCTTCTTTATCCCACCCATCAAACATTCCCAGAAAAAGGCATTGTTACTTGATATGGACAAAGGAAGTTTTCGCATTTATGCAAGGATTTTTGTGAATGAAGGATCTTTAGAAAACTTTACT